AAGAGAGGACTTCCCTTGTTTTTTAGACTTAAGGAAAAGTAACTCAGCTAGAGGAAGAAAACACTATTTCGTGAAGCCTGTGCCTTTATTCTTTCCCATGCCCTTCTCAGCTGACTGTTTCTCTATAAAGGCAACTTCTCCACCAAGGCCTTCCCACCAGATCTTAGCCGAGCCCCCAGGTTCTGTTTGGGACCCCGAGTCTTCTCTTGCAGCAACTCCTGCCACCTGCTTGTGACACAAGCTGGACATCTGCCCATCACCTACTAGAAAAAGCCTCAGCATCCTAACCTCCTAAGTTTCCCAAATGTTACCAGACTCTAGCACACAGAAATGCAGCTTTGGTGTGTGTCCCCACTCCCAGTCTCAGAATGCTCACAGTCCTCTGTGAGGAACATCTGAGGGGTCTGCTCAGCTCCCCACGTCCCTTCTCTCAGGGCTGGGTCTCAAGAGCTCTGTGTGTTTTGTGACCCTGCCGTCTTTGGCCATAGGGGATCAGCTCCTGGTGGCACCTCAGCCAAGCTTGACCCATCCCATTCTCTCTCCTGAATTCGGATTGAGGGCAGAGACACCAGTCACCACTTGCTGCACTGAGTGGATGGTATGCTGACCGTTTTAACTTCGTGCCCGGGGAAGCAGAGACGGTTCCCCACCCGAAGAGAAGGTGGGAAGGAGGGAGAAGTTAGGACTGAGATGCCAAGAGATCTGTGGTCCAGAGTGATGGAGAGAGAAAGCCCAAGTCCTGAAACTTTTTTAGTTCCTGGCTCCAAATCCCCTCGAGGCTTTGTTTCGTTTATTGCCCTTGGATACTGCGATCTACATTCTAATTTAATAAAGTCACATTTTCCTTTTTTTTCCCCTTCAGTTTAGCGTGATTTCTTTTCTATTGGTTACAACTAAAAAGTGTCGATAAGACCACTAGGTTTTAGAATCCCCATTTTTCAAAGACAGAAACTAAGGCTCAGGGATGAAGCCCAAGGCCAGGATCACCCAGGTGGTGAGGAGCAGGGGAGATTCCACTGTTGGACATGTGCACTTCCTCTATGTGAGACACTTTCTAACGACTTCACACATATTACAGCATTTAATCCTCAGAGCACCCCTATGAGGTAGATAAAACTGTTGGCATCATTTTAAAGATGAGGACATGGAGGCAAGAAGTTGAGCCATTTCCTTGAGACCACACTGCAGGTGAGGAGAACCAGAGCCAGAGGTGAACCTGGGAATTGATGCCAGGGGCTGGACTCTTAAAATGATGCAGTAATGCTAGTTCTGGAGGCAGCAGGCTAGGCATGGAAAAAGTAAAACGTTTCCAGAATTTGATAAACCCAGGAATGCTGAGTTGAACCATAGACTCTCAGAAGATGGGAGAGCCTTTGGGGGTTCCCTACTGGACCATGCTTCCACTGATGTGAACAGCTGTTCTTCTGCAGCCCGGACCAATGGTCATTTCTCCAACACTGTATCACGGAGCCTGCTCCATCATAGAGCAGGTCTGGTCTTGTCCCCTGGACTCACACAAAATATGCTGGCTCCTCCACCCACACAGCCCCCTCCCCAAGTCTTGCCTTCTGGTGTTTGTGGGGGTCCTCCCCTTCTCATGGTTTCCCCACGCTGGTCTGGAAAGTGAGGAGCTGAGATATGACCACAGTGCACCTGATGGGACCACAGCCACCTCGTGCAGCACTTAGTCACTTTCTTGGGCAGGTCCTCAGCATACTCCAAAAGTTCCACATGGTGAGCGCACCCTCAGTTAATTCCCTAATGGAGACAAACCACAGATCTGGGTGACTGCATAGTTTCAGCCATGGTTTGGGAAATAAGTGGGTGCATTTATAAACTAGATTTTGTCAGGATGACTTCAAACTCAGCTGTTGTCGCCTGAGGATACCCTTCATGGCCCATCTGGGACAGAATGAAGAAAGGACATACTCTCCAAGGCCGAGACCCCTGGGGAAGAGAAACCTCTACAGCTGGGATGTGCTGATGGAAAGCCCAGCTCCTGGGACCCATGGGTGGTGGGGAAACAGAAAGGGCTTGCAGTGATTCCAGAAAAAGACGGCTGAGAAGGACCAGGAGACTTTATAGGCCAGAGGTGCCTGGAGACAGGCTGTGGATTATTCCAAGTAGACCATCCCAGATGCTCTTGAGTGAAAGCTGGAGATTTTCTCCTCCCAAAATGCACATACAGACATACCTTTGCTTAAGGAGTAGTTCTTGGTTCCCCAAACCCATGCAAGGACCCTATTTAAGAATCTGTGCCCTAGAGAGACCCCGCCATCTAATTAAGACCCTCCTGGAACCTTCACAGCCTCCCTCCCCGGGCTGGGCAGGACCCTCCCCGTTGGCACTGTCATGCAAAGGTTTTAAGAAGGTGGCCAGCCCTTAGACCAGCAGCATCAGCATCACCTGGGAACGCATTAGAAATGAACCTCTCAGTCCCTAACCCAGACCAAATGAATTAGAAATTCCAGGGTGGGGCCCAGCAATCTGAACAGGCTCTCTTGGTGATTCCAAAGATCACTTGAGTTTGAGAAGAGCTGCTGCAAACAGTTCTCCTCTTCATGGTGTGTGTCTGCCCTACTAGATACAAGGTGCCTGGCTGCACAGTAAGTGTTCAAATGAATATTTATTGCATCAAGTTTTCCCGACTCCTAGGACAGGAGTTTTTCCTTGGTACCATATGGCTTTCAGCCGTGGTGACTGATACCCCATGCCATTTCAGATCTAGTTTCTACTCTAGGGCCTAAGATCAAGCTTGGCTCCACTGGGCAGAGGAGGGGATCTAACCTTGAGTCAGGTGCCCAGAAACCTTCATACAAGAATTGGGCCAGATAGACGTCAAACCTGGAGGATCTCTCCAGATAATAAGGCCTCCACCAGCTGGTGGATGAGGGGCAGGTGGGCTAGGGGCTGCCCGGCCAGCACGTATGCCCAGGGCTCACGGGACCCAGCTCTACCAGGCTCCACAAGCTGCCCCACTCCCCTTGGTGCCTGCTGCATACCAGCCTCGGCAGAAGCTGCCAAACCTCTGCCAGGGACATACTTGCCAGGTTGGTGGGGAGAAATATGGCCACTTTTAATTTGTAATGAATAGGGGTCTGGGGGATGTGATTAGAAGACCCCTCTTTTTTTTTTTTGAGACAGAGTCTCACTCTGTCATCCAGGCTGGAGTGGTCTCAGTTCACTGCAACTTCCGCCTCCCAGGTTCAAGCGATTCTCCTGTTTCAGCCACCCGAGTAGCTGGGACTACGGGCATGTGCCACCACACCTGGCTAATTTTTGTATTTTTAGTAGAGACGAGGTTTCACTATGTTGGCCAGGCTGGTCTTGAACTCCTGACCTCATGATCCGCCTGCCTCGGCATTCCCAAAGTGCTGGGATTACAGGTGTGAGCCATGGTGCCTTGACAGAAGATGCTTCTTAATGTCTTGTGTATGAGTGTTTGTTAAGGGGGTCAAGAGTTGTGTTTCTGTCTCCCATATAGGACTAAATTCCCAGTTTCATTTTTTTAGGGAAAGGAGGTGTCTTCTACACAGTGCCTCCATTTCCTAAAATTTAAAAAATAATACGTTTTTTGAGGGTTGTAGAGAAAACATTTCTGTAGCCTTTCCTGTTTCATATTGCTCCAGTTCTTTAAACATTACAAAAAAGAACATTTGATTTTTGAAGGTGGGGGCAGAGAGAATATACCTGTTTGCTCTTAATTTCCAATGCTTTTATTTTTAAAAGGTACCCTTGTAGTTTTGTTTTGGGGAGAGGCAAAGAAGGATTTCTGTTCACCTTACATCTCATAGACGAGCAATTCTTCACATTTTTATTCCAAAAAGCAGTCAGTCGTGGGAGACGCAGGATGGGTTCAGTAATTCCTCTTTGTCTCTCCTTCACACTTTCAATTTTTTAAAATTCTGATTTTTTAGGAGGATGGGGAAGAGAACAGGAAAAAAAAAATTCCTTTAAAACTTTCCCAAGTCACAAGGAAGCAGTTGCTCAAGTTAAACAAACAAAGAAACAAAAAAACCCCAAAACTGGCTCTTTTGGGGTGTTGGAAAGAAATACGCTGGTTCACTTTTTATTTCACATAGAAATTTCTCAAATTTTCCTTTTCTAAATCAACCTGACTGGGGAATATGGGGGTCTAATACCCTTTAACCTTCAACCCCTCGTGTCTTCCTGTAGGACCAGTTTTTCTAACTTTTATTTAAAAAAAATACATATATATATATATATATAAATTTGGCAAGGATAGGCAGAAACAGCCATTTCACTGGCATTTCACATAAAAGCAGTTTCTCAAATATTTATTTTAAAAATCAATCTGGCTGGGGGGGGGGCTAGAGTCCCCTTAACCCCTCCTGTCTGACATGGGGCCAGTTCTTCAAACTTTTATGACATTAGTTTTTTTGGGGAGGGGTGGCAGGGGCAATAGGAATATCCCCAGTAAGCCTTCCAGTCTTTCAGCAATCCAGCTCTTGAAAACTTTTATTTCAAAAATCAATGTGATTTTTTTTCGGTGGGGGGACAGCGGGGTACAGAGCTCCCATTAACCTCTTGCGTTCCGCCGAGAGCCGGCTCCCCAAACTTTTTTTCCAGCGTGAAAATGACATTTCCAAGGGTCTGGAGGACCGGGGGAGGGCAGAAGGGAGCCGGGGGGCGGGCGCGGGGGTCGCGGGGAGGGCAGGGCGCGGCGCGGGAAAGTTTGGGGGGCGGGTGCGCCGGGACCCGGGGGCTGGCGGACTGGCGGGCGGGCGCGCCCCAGGACCCGTTGGCTTTGTGTGCGGCGCGGAGGCAGGCGGTGCGGAGGCCGAGGCCGCGGCCCCAAGCTCGCTGGCCGCGCGGCGAGGCCGGCCCGGGGGCGGGCAGGGCGGCGGGGGGCGGCGGCGGCCCCGCGAGGGGCGGCTCGGCGGCGGCGGCGGCCGCAGCGCGGCCGGTGCGGGCCGGGGGTGGGGGCGAGGGCCGGCGCCCCCCCCCGCGCGCCCCCAGCGCCCCCGCCCCCCCGGCCTGAGCGGGGCGGGCGGAGGAGGGAGCGGTGGCGGCGGCGGCGGCGGCGGCGGCGGCGGCGGCATTGTGCGCGCACCAGCAGCCCGGCCCGGGAGGAGCAGGACGCGCCGGGGCCGCCTCCTCCCGCACGGACCCATGAACCAGCCGGGCGGCGCGGCGGCTCCGCAGGTACGACTGGGGGCCGGGGGCAAGCACCGCGCGGGGGACCCCGGGGGGCCGGGGCTCGGGGCGCTGCGCCACTTCATTGCAAGATTTGCAAAATGCAAAGTGCCTGGGCACGTTTGCGGGCTTTTTGTGGGCGCTAACGGGAGGGTCGGGGTCCGGAGAGCACCCCCCCGGGCTCTGCGGGGTGTGAGGAGAGTGGGGGTGACGAGGGGGTCTTTTGGGGCCCCCACCCAGCGCCCCCTCCGGCCCCGGGCTCGGACCGGAGCCCAGAAAACAAAGCGGCGAGAGAACAGAGCAGCCATTTCAGTTTGGACAATTCACATTTTGCAAAAATGCAACCCCTTCCAGCTCTGCCCCCTCCCCCCCAAATTTGCAATTTTCCCCTGACCCTCTTTGCGCTTCGGGTCCCCGATGACCCCCCGGGAGGTCTCTTCCCCCAGGCCCCCCATTTTTAAACAATCTTTTTTTTTTTAGGCCATATTTCCCTTTCTCAATTTTTTTTTTCTAATTTTTCTTCAAACGGTAGTTTTTTCCCATTAAAACGACGCCACCTAGAGGATACTATTTTGTAAATAAAAAAAGAAATTAAAATTGAAAAGAAATATTTTTTATTTCTTATTTTTTCAAAAGTTTGCACTACTAGGCAGTGGAGGGGTAAGAGATTCTTTTTTTTTCTTTTTTCGGGTGAAAATTTTCACTTTGATCTTTCCAGAAGCATGGAGACAATTTTTATTTCTGAAGCCAAATCCAGATAATATGTAAATGAAAATTAAGCTGGAATTTGAATGAATTCAGTTCTTGGAGGGGAGAAAGCAAAAAACCTCCTAAAAGCAAAGTCAATTTGGCTACTCATCTCATTTCAGTTTGAGAAAAAAACTAATTGGAATAAAGAAAAGAGGGAAATTGTTGAGTTTAGGGAAAACTGAGAATTGGCTTTATGAAGCAATTAGAAATTGTACTTCATTGTAATTTGGAACTTGTTTAGCTCAGCGGGCAAAAAAAGACTAATTTCTCTATTTGACAATATTTAAAGTTTTTCTATTTCCACGAAGGAAGGATTTAAAAGAGAAAATAGACCCTAAAATGTTGGCTTTGGACACACCCAAAAATTGTAGTTTTTTTTTTTTTAATTTTGCATTTACATTTTACTGCATTTAAATCCTAAGATTCTAAAGAAAACAGAAACTAAAAAAGTTAACAGTGAAATCCTTTCTTTTTTCTGTATTTGTTGGGTTTTTTTGTGTGTGTTTTTTTTTGTTTGTTTTGTTTTGATGGAATAATTAAGACTGTTTTCTGATTTTGTTTCCTGAAAGGTCTAGGCATTTCTTTTTTGTTGTTGTTTTATCCAGAAAATGTCAGGAACCTTTTTTGAGCAATAATCAGGGAAAAAAATGTAAATTCATACATTATACAAATTGAGTAGCCCACAGATTTGTAGGAGAGACCGCCATTAAAGTAAGATATGCATAATTAACATTATTATGAAAAACTAACAGTGGATTCACAGAAGCTCATTTTTTATGACATGCAACTGAATCAATTGATGAAGACAAGGATTGAGGAATCCTTCGTAAGGAAGAAAATTTTTCCTTTTCTGTCTTGTTCACTCTTCCAATTTGAAAAATTTATTACTTAAAAAAAATTTAGATTGGTTTCAGGCCTCTTTGATTGTGATGTGAGGTTGGGAGTTTATCAATATTTGTTATTTTTCAAAAACCTGGTTACTTTTGAAGGGAGAAAAATTCATTAGCCTTGATCATTTTGGGGGGTTTTTGACCAAAAAAAAAAGAAAAAAAGAAAAGCACAAATTTTACTGAATTAACAAGAAAAAGATAAAAGGGGGATGGGCAGAAAGGAGATGAAAATTCTGATTCTTATCTTCCTTGGTAGAACACTTACTTTGCTGAAGAAATGTGGTAAAACACCAACTCAGCTGATTTTAGCAGCAAAAAATATAAAGGAAAAAAACATCAAAATACAAACAAAAGCCAAACCCAAAGGTTTGCCTCTGGAATATGAAAGCATATGTGCAAACAATATTTCATGTGGAGGTTTTGGCCTTAAAATGAATCAAATGAAGGTGAAACAACAACAAAAAATTTCAGAAGGCAAATAAATATTGACTGAATTGAAATTTGACAGACGAAAATTAAGTACCCACCCAGAGATGAAGGGTTTTGTGATCAATTAGTATCTGATTGAACTTGCTGGGGATTTTGAGCCTACTCCTCCAAAAGTTACAATTTTTCTGTCCAAAAGGAGCATATTATTAGCACTTGTGGGGCGGGATCTTGAGGGGGACCTTGGATTGGAAACTGATGGTGGGTCTCCTGGGGCAAGAACAGGAAACCTTCTGCCCCTTTTGCCAGCCACTAGCTGGTCTTGGAAGAACTGGTGGTCCCCATCCATAGATTCCCAAACCTGTTTTGTGGAAATTTGGATGTTTAAGTGGAATAAATCAAATATATTATTTCTGTGAAATATATCTGACAATGGCAGAGGCTTGACATTTCCCATCATCGCCATTGCATTTGGGAGATTTTATTTTTTTAGTAACAAAATCCTTCAGGGCTGACTAGTCACATTCTGACATATTTGGAATGAGTTTTTTTTTTTTTTTTTTAAGTAGCATAATTAAAAAATTTTTTTTTCTGTTGAATTATTTAGGCCGATGACTAGGACGGTCAAGGAATTTATAATTTCCAAGGGGCTTTGGAGGCCTCATGAGGCAGAAGGCCTGAGTTTAGCAGTGATGAAGGAGAGAAGGGCTGGGGAGGGGTGGAGGGGACGGGTAGGGGCATCTGAGAAAAAGTCAGGGTTGTAGATAACAGGTTATTTCTGGTGCAAGGAATAAAAATATTGCAGCACGTCCCTTTGTGTGGCCTGGATCTTCTGACACACAATTCAGATTCCTTCATTCCATTCTGCTGAAATTTTGTTCTGTCGTCTGTGGCTAGAAGTTGAAAATCATTTCTGGTTTTGTAAACCTGTTTTTTAATTTCTTTTCTTTTTTAAAAATTGCTAATTCTGATCATGTTTGTTGTAAGGAAGTAGAGGTGCATGATGGTTCTTTTGGGGGCGGGGCCAGTTTTCTTTTGTTTCTATTGGTGTCTCTCTCTGGATTGAGATCTGACCTTGGCCTTTGCTTTCTCACCTCCTATTTTAGGTGGACGGGTGATCAGAAATGGATATATGAGCTAATTTTTATTAGCTCTTGTCTGTTACCACATTCTCTTAGAATATTGGGCAAAATATCTGGCAAATTGGACTTGAGGGGTGGTAATTTGATGATGGGCTGAGTTATTTTGGTGAAAGATCATTTATACTCAGTTTCACAGTGGAGACTCTTATTACTTAATGTTTTGCTTTTCTGCCTAAGGAGGCTTTCTTTAAAAAAAAAATTTCTAATAAGGTTTGAAATTTCAAGGGCCTGCTTTATAGCTTGACTTTGGACCAAGCTAGGAAAAGGGGTTTTCTTATACTTTCAGTCCCGCACAGAGGTGAACTTGAACAAGGGTTCTTGCTTTTGCAGAAGGAAAGCAGCAAAGATGGCTGGTCAGTGTAAGGCTGACCTCTCCCTTGTCCTAGAAAATAAACAGCCAGTGGCTTGTTTCACTTGAGAAATTGAGTTTTAAAACTCCTCCAATGTCAGATACAATATTTTTCTCACTTTTGACTCAGCTCTTGGCATGCTGCTTCCTCTGACCTCAGAATCCTTACGTCTTCTCCTTGGTGGGTGATAAGAACTTCCTTGCCATATTTCACTGGATGTATATAAGCTGACTTTTCATGGTCATGAGGAATTTTGAATTTTTTCCATGTTCTTGTGATGTTTTGTGTTAGTTGTGCCTTCCTTCTGGTGATGTAAAATGAAGTGGCTTCTTTTTTCAGGAGCCCTAGGCCCCCCAACCCAGGGTCTCACTGTATAACCTTAGGCAAATCACTTTTTCCTTCAAAGCCTCAATTTTTGCGTTTATAAAATGAACACTTTGGATCAGATCAAGGATAATAATAAATAGGTTTCATCTCTGAATGTAACTCCAAGGAATTGGTTATGGCTGCCTGGATCACTGTGTTTAGAAGGATTCTGAGGCCATATCCCAACTCCTATATGCTAGAGAGAGGGCCACAGCGGCCCAACAGCAGTGCAAATCAGAGTGGAGAGTGCACCTCTTAATTACCATTCCCAGGCTAGACCTTGAATCATGGGCCATTAGTGGGTTGTGAAATCAATTTAGTGAATCACAATCAGAATTTTTTTAAAAACAAGAATAGACTAGAATATAGGGGAAGAAAAATAGCAGTTTGTGGATGTATGTGTGTGATGTGAAATATATTTCCTCCCGTGGGTCATGGTTGAAAGAGTTTGAAAGGTACTGGACTAGATGAGCCGCCATGATGTGCTGCAGGTATACTACACTTTATTGCTTGCACTTTATTTTCTCATTTATTATCTCAGCTAACTTTTAGGTGAACCCTAGGGGTTAGGTGACCTGTGCCACATATTTTCAGCCCTGGTGGAGCCCACTTCAAAGGCCACCTATGAAGAAGGCTCAGGCGCATGGGCAGCCCAGGCACATACCCCAGCTTGTTGACCTTGGATAGTATGGAAGGGCAGATGCAAGGTTGAGGGCAGCATCTTTGCAAGGTCTTCTTGCTGGAGAGGAGATCTAAAGTGTGTGGAGTCCTTGTCTTTTCTTCGATACTTTTAGTTTAAATTGCCAGAGAAATTTTTCTGGAGTTAGAGAGTTTGTTTTTGCTATATTTAATTTAATCAGACTTAAAAACACAGTCTGTATTTTTGTGTGTATGCACTTCCTTAAAAATCCCAGAATTTCTGTCTTAGTCTCCTCATCTTTTAAATATGTCAGGCCAGTGCTATCTAATAGAAATATAATTCAAGTCCCCAATGCGAGTCACATGTGTCATTTTTAATTTTCTAGTAGTGTATTAAAGAAAGTAAAAGAAACAGTGACACTGATTTTAACATATTTAACTCAGTA